TGAGGAGTCGAGGCTCGAGACTATAGAGAGAGAGTAATAACTTGGTGTCGGCCAGAGTAGGGAGAGAAGATGAGGTCGTGGGAAAGTTGAAGCCGTAGGTAGAAAGAAGGAAAGACAAAACAGTCTAGCCCTCGTGCTTATTTTTATAAGCACACTGGAAGGCTTCAATACTAAAGAATCGCCCATCGCCTGTGGCCAGTATCATCTGGAATTTCTTAATGTCAAGAGTATCGGACAAAGAACCCTAACATGAGCACGTCTGAGCATGTTGGGCAAAACATAAATCTGTAACTTGAGAATCTATCAGCTGGGGGATAAAGCTGTTCAAACCTGGCTAAATCGGACTCTGCAATATATGTTCGAAGAAAGTATGACACTGATAAAAGCAACATATAACACCGCGTCATATTCAGCGAGCAGCAGAAGATGGAAAGTCACAATGGAATCGGCCACAATGCCGCCTTTGTCTCCCGGTTTCAAGGAAATGCTGTGAATTAATATTGACTTGCAGGAACGAAGCGTAAGCAGGGAAAATCAGCTTAGGATGGAGGTAGAAGGTTGGTGGATTGTAACTTTAGCAGACATCAGGGCTGCTAACAACCGAGAAAAAATATTCCAGAAAGTGGAGCACATTACTCTGTACTATTTGCCAAACTTATGGCAATGTGTTTTGAGATAGTTGATTGTTGAAAACCAGCATGAACGTTGGTTGACCCCTGAAGTCATTAAACGGAGGTTGGCTTTGCGCCTGGGGGCGGGTGAGATGTGAAGGTTTTCAGAAATGTCGTTGGTGTATCAAATTGTTGGTTAGTTGAAGAATCACATCTCTACCCATACCCCCTTCGCCAGCGTCTCGACATTTCCTTCATCATGGCTGCCAGTCGAGCCATTTCAACTCAGAACTACAACCCTTATCGCTGTGGAGCCCCGAAAGCACGTCCGTCGATATCCAGGTTCGAGAATAGTTCTTTACGTAGTAAGCATCAATTCGAGCAATAACTAGTTAACTAATGACGGCAATTCAAGATTTTTAGTTGTCACTCAAAGTAGTAAGAATCATGGGGGCTGTTGGTGCCTTTAAAAATTTCTTGAAGTGGAGAGAAATATTAATGATGCCTGTCAGGTGTCTGCTCACTGTTTAAGAAATATACATGTCAACCATACCTTAATCATTCATCAAATAATTAAAGAAGTATAATTATACCTCTGCCCTTGGCTCCTCCCTAATCTTGTCCACTTGCACGACATAGTCATCCAACAGAAAATCGCATATCGGCGACCATTTTCCCCCTCTTCCTCCGCGGGTGATGAAATCCAATAAACATCAGAAAGAATAATAGACAGAAACAACCACCAACTCCGCAATACAGTGATGACGAAGACCTGGGCTATTTTTCGGGGGATGATTATTCTCGAGAAACAGACGACGGTACCCGGGTAAGCACCAACAGCAGCCGAGAACCGCACAACGGCCGCAACCGCAACCACAATTGCGAAATGAACGACAAATTGACCCGCACAAACGACCCACGAACACAGCCTCAACTCATCCGAGGATAAAGTGAAGCAACAATTCGAACGTATCGGCCCCAGAAACGCCAATGGATGAGCCCGTCACCTATGCTCGTGCCCATCGTTGTGAAATCCCCATGCGGGGTGCGAATCCAAATAGGATGCTCAATACTGCTGAGAGGCCTCGAGAGGAGGTACAGGATTGTCTGAAACCGAACTTAAAGCCTAATCTGGATGTAGAGGTAGAATTGAAAAGCAGATACATGGTGATCTGACACTGGCTTTTCCGTAAGCACAATCCACCTAATAATTTGGCTATTATTCTCCTTGCTTGCCGAATCACTGTTTCTATTTCTGTTTTCGTTTCTGTTTGCGTTCTGCTTCCTCCCTCTTCCTGTACTCCAAATTGTTGCATCCATTGAGTGTAAGATTCGCTGAGTTTGACAATAATTGTGACGACCTTAATTTGGCAGGGCATAGAAAATGAAACGCTCGAACTCTCATTTCCCTGAGTCCCGTTTCAAAGCATAAATTGTGTCTTGGTGTAGAAATGTGTTCCGAGACCTTTTTCCTTTGGTTGTCGCTTTCCAGCCATGGCATGCTTTATTAAATTGTGAATTGTAAAAGATTAGGGGATACGCTCCCTGTGTTTGGTAAAAGCGGTGGAAATATGCATCAGGAAGCGAGAGATTTTCTTTGCTTTCCTTTTGTTGGCATTTGGGAGATGTATCGGTTGTGTTTTTACTTCAATGCCATACATTGTCACATATTCAGTCGTTGATTTGTATTTCGTTTGCAATCATAAATGCTTTATCTCAGACGTTCTTAAGGAGCTTTGGTTGTCTGTAAAAGCCGTACATCCATCATGAGCCTGCGGTTTGGTACTAAACATTGGAAATGGGCGCTGAGATTCCAACAAAGGCTTTGGCAAAGGGTATTCCATATTTTACGCAAAAGTCGCTGTAATATGATATCCTTTCGTATTATAACTGTGTCCTGTCCCCGGGCTCAAATCATGGTTCGAGCATTCTACCATATGTGTACATCCACGTCGCGAACCCTGAAATTGGCGGGTAAACCATTCCGGCAAGGAGATTTAAGAGAGGACGGAAGCACTTCGTGGTGCAAGATTGTGGTGTATCAAAGAAGAACTGGATAATTCTGGTTTCCTCTAATACGCTCCGCATGGTAACTTGGGACATGGTATAATTCCAATTCCGAAGTCGGGAATATTCAGGATCCATCGAGCATTCCAAGGATCTTCCATACTGTTCTTGCTCCAAACCAAAATCGCTGAGTGGGAAAGAGCAAGTCGAGTGATCGCAACCCAATTCCACTGCCGGATGCCATCTTGCTTGATATAGAGAACTCTTAGCAAAAGAAATTCCCCATTCTCCAGCGCAAGGCCAACGAAAGACACTTGTTACGCTCAACTTTATTTTTAAGTTCTAGTGATGCAAGTTTGATAGACTAGTCCTAATATGTCCTAGTGTTGCTCGTTAGGGCATGGCATTTTCGACAAGCGAGCTCACTGTGCGAAATTCAACATTCCTTACGACGACGACGACAAGCCTCAACCTCCCGCGAAATTCACCACCGCCGACCACCGTGCGATATTCTGGTCAAGGACTACACGATACGAGGTGAGAAATACCTTCCTCCCTATTTTATTCCTAGGTTTTGAGACGCGTATTTCGAGATTCTGCGATGGTTTTGCTGTGGGGGATAAGAGTATCCCCACGAGAGTTTGTGCGAGGGCGATATCCAACGAAAAACACGCCATGGAAAAATCGATCGCGGGAAACATATATCCGCGTTCTCACCGTTATCGATTGAAATGCTGACCGTTGAGATTTTTTCTTTCAGTAGTCCAGTCCATCAACCGCAATCATGGGTATCTCACGAGATTCCCGCCACAAGCGTTCAGCCACTGGTGCGAAAAGATCTCACTACCGCAAGAAGAGGTATGGAGATGATGCTGCGCAATGATCCATTGATTTTTGGGAGAACTGGGGAAACATATAGATATATTCCTTCTTTGCAAACTTCTTACGATTATTCAACTTTTTACAGAGCTTTCGAAAAAGGTCGCCAACCCGCCAACACCCGTATTGGACCTAAGAGAATCCATCTCGTCCGCACCCGTGGTGGAAACCAGAAATTCCGTGGTCTCCGTCTTGAATCTGGGAATTTCTCATGGGGCTCAGAGGGCATTGCTCGCAAGGTCCGGGTCATTGTTGTCGGTGG